TAATATCATTCCATGCATCATTTATGTTATATATAAGATTTTTTCATTCTCAAATATGTCATTTTTTAGCACTTACGGCAATAACCTTTTTTATCGTATAGAAACTACAGTTTCCAGCTGTGTTTCAGTATGACAATCTTGAACTATCCAAGTCTGACCTACTTTTCTTCCTTAACGACCACTTCCATCTCTGCTGTCATTACCGTCTTCAGCTCCTCTTGTAACACAGGGAAGCCACCTATAGGAGAAGGAAGAAACACAATTGTCTTAAACTTGAAAAAGTAAAAGGCAAATATCTTGTAAGTAGCAATGTGTACCATAAAAAGACAAGGAGAGGTAAAAATACACCTTATAGTATGCTACTTTTTAACACAAATGCCCAAAATCTAAGTTAACTTTGTTATATCAAATAATTCCATTTCTAATATCCAGTTTTACTAAATAATTTGAACAAATGTTTAAAGAATTGTGCCACATTTGAGAAAAAGACTTAACTATTACCCTTCAACTCTCCAAGTGCTTTGCTAATATGACTCAGTGCCAGCGCCATGGATTCCACGTCAGCCATATTGACCCTGCACCGTCTGTTGATGACATCACTGCGAAGTTCTTCAACTGATGATTCTAGATCACTGAAAGATCATGCCCAATCACAATCATCATTCCATGGCAAACCCAACATAGTCCCTCACTCACAGTGTAAGAATCAAATATTTTTGAAAAATAATTTTATTTGGGACAATTTCAGTGAGAAGTTTTATTTCTAATTTTTTTTCCTTAGGGCTCTCAATCTTTGCTTTGTGAACATCTCTGTGTAGTGTGTCAAAGCAGAAACAAACTAGCTTTATGAAATCTTAGGATAAAGAAACCTTGTAACAAGTTAGAAGAAGAAATGGTATGCGCATTCTCTTCATTACCCAAGTTCATTTTCCACTCTCTTGCAGTCCTGTTTAAATGTGTCACAATGGACGTCTGCTCTACTCCGTCTGGCTCTCAGTGGGTGTCCAGAGGCCCCTGGTACTCCTGTCATGGCATCCTAATAACACAAAGGATTGTGGGATGTTTAGAACATTATGGGATACAAGTATACAAGACTCAGCAAAGAATTGTGAATTTTTAATTATAATGGCTTTATTTTCCTGTCTCCTGCAAAGGAACATCAAGAGCAGGGAATAGTTTCAGCCAAACCCACAGAAATAATCCTACAATACAAAACAAACAGTCATAAACTGTGAACAAATAGGAAAAAGTTGCACACAATGTACCAAGTCATTCTAAGTACCTTTATTTTTTCAAAAGCTTCTCTTATAGTATCCCGTATGTTATCAGCCTGTGCCTCTTGTATCCGTCTGAGATTGCGACACTCTGTCTTCAGTTCCTTGGCCTTTGCCTGGAGTCCTCTGATGGAGTCCTGTACCTCAGAACTCATCTCTGGCTGCGGTGTAGAGGTGGAGCCACCAGATATACCTGACCAATGGAAATGCTCTTGATTATATTCGTGGATTTACAATTCTGACAATGTTTCATATAAGAAAGTTTAAACATATTGGCACTGCATTCTGGGAACATGGGTGACTCTCAAATTTCCCGCCAGCATCTCTGGCTTTGGTAAGGAGGTGGAGCCACTAGATTTACCTGACCAATTGAAATGTTCTTGATTATATTTATGAATTTACAATTCTAACATTGTTTTATACAAAAAAAAAGTTTTAACATATTTGCACTGTATACTGAAAGTATGGACAACCTTCAAATTCCCTACCAGTCTCCTGGAATATAAATGAGTGCAAGGTTGAACTGCTAGTAGTATAACTAGCTTTTTATTGAACAATAATCAAAATACAGATGATTAAATGTAGCAAAAAGTTCCATAAAGCTCATTTTGAATGCAATATGCTATATCAAATATTGTTAGAAAATAGAACTTAGTTCTGCTGTTTCTTTCCTTTTTTTTTTGCACATTTTATTTTTGTTAACTCATCAATTTATCATGCACATACATTCACTTTACTTTGTGAGTGTACCATGCAAAAATTGGGACAAAAAATCATGCCACAAATGATTAATTGCTACCTAATTCAAATATTCAACTGCCTGCTACCTGAAAGTACAAATTATACTAGGTTTGACGATAAAAATGTCTACATTAGAACAAAATCCAATTCCAAAGTTTCTAATCATTCTCATCATCAATCACAAAGTGTATTTTTTTTCAGGGCCATGGTATGACATGCAAGTTATCTATGATAAAACTTTTCTATTTCAAGCAATGTTAAATAATGTACAGTTCTATATTCTACTATCTCTGTTGGCTGTATCTGTGTAGCATGCTCATGCTCTGTGCATGCTGTATACCTTGTAGAGATGATACAGAACTGCTAGGAGTGGGAGAATACTGGGTGGACTCTGAAATGTTGCCATTATTTAATGTTGATAACGATTTATGCAATTGTATGAACTTGTATGTCTATTAAAATCTGACATATATATAATTTACATTTTTAAGTTAAATATAATCATTCTGACGTAATGTGTGATTCTGATCAGAAAAACTTTTGCCCTCCTTCAGAACCTCTGAAAATACAAAATCTATCACCTTATTCTGTTCTTTTAATTATATAATCTCATACAATTACAAACTTCAAACATTTTACTGCAAGCTATAATTCCACTTCTGTAAAAGAACACTTCCCTCCCCCCTCCCCCCCCCTACACCTCACATAAACTCTCAAGCTTTCATATCACCAAATACTACTCACTAGAGGCACTGCCACTTCTGTAAAAGAGCCCCCCCTCCCCTCCTCACCCTTCATCTCATATAAATCTCACAAGATTTCATTTCATTCACTAATTACTCACTAGAGGCACTGCCACTGTTGTGACTCCCAGTCAAACTGCCGGCTGCACTGCCTGGTCTACTGACCACATTATGGACCAGGGCAGTCAGGTTGGCTAGCTGTGCCTCCATCTTGGCCATCTGCATTCTGTGGAGAAGAAACAGGGGTTGTGTATTTCATTTCTTTGTGAAATGTTCATGACTTTTTTTATAAAGTATGTGCTTTAAGAAATATGGAAAATTTTGCATCACTTTGCTTAACATTTACCAGCATACACTGAAAAATCAATTGTACTCAAAATAAAATATTTTGTAGTTCTTCCATGCAATCTTGTCTTGCCACAGCAAATGAGTGTTCAAAACATCATTTAACAATCTCACCTTTTATTTCATAACACCTGCTAAAGATAAAACCTATGGCTTTTACTTGCTAATGTGCAAAATTGCAAATAAATTTAAAATAAACTTCCACATTCAAATATTTGTAAAAAAAATTCCTCACCTTGTTCCAGGGTCGTTGCCAGGCGTGGGGGTCACATTCCCAGACCTGGTGCCGCTCTGGTACGCATTGTTATAATTCATGGTGCGGGGGTCACGCTGCATGATGGGGGTGGTGGGTAAACTCTGGGCTGCCATCTGTCTGGAGGGTTGGGGTGGGTAGCCTGGAAAGGGGAGCTGGACAATTAAGTTTTTAACTGACAATGAAGTTAATTTACAGACATGAACTCTCCTGCCTCCCTATCTAAATCTCTGAACTTTTATTGTGGAACAACACTTTTTTGGGGCTGGGGTTCTGGGGCATCCTAAGGTCCCATTAGAACTGAATTACATTATTAATTTAGTTAATCAAATAAATCTGTCCAGCCACAGAAAAAAACTCATGTCTGTAATTAAAACAGTTTAATATTATCTAAATTTATGTGTGAAAATGGACCAAGATTCACAATTTATTCACTGTCTGGTGAAATATAAGCTTAAACATGTTTTTTTAGAACAACAGATTTTAAATTTAATACAGAGACTGAATTAATCTGACCGACATAAGTCCCCATTATTTTCATGCTTCAAGAATTTCATATTCCAAAGGTACAGCAGTTTCAACAGCTATCAAATCCCTGATATTTAGCACACAATTTCTTTTTATAATTTCCATGAGTTCCACAGTAACTATATGACAGTGTCAATCAAACATGTGCCCACCTTGATGAGGTCCTGGTGAAGGGGGCGGTCTTTGAGGAGGTCCATATGGCTGAGTCGTGGGCGTGGTTCTTCCCCTCTGCCCCTCCCACTGCCCTGTGGGGGTGGGGCCTCTCCCAGGAGGACGGCCTGCCACCACCTGCTGCTGTAGAAACATGCGTTGAATCTCGTCATGTGACATGTACTCACTAGGTGGTGGTAGTGTGCGACTTTGACCAGGGACCTGAGGTGCCGTGAAGTGAGGTGAGGGAAGGAAGGAGAGAAGGAAAAGGAAAGAAACAAACATGACTCAAACTGAATATTCTGTGCATGCTAACTGAAGTGCAATTTGAGGTATTATTCCATTATAAACACGACTCAAACTGAATATTCTGTGCATGCTAACTAAAGTGCAATTTGAGGTATTATTCCATTATAAAGAAAACTATGAGGGTTATATGCATGCTGTTTTAGATTTCAAAACATAAAACAAGAACAATGCATGCCAACTTGAAACACTTTAACACATAATCAAACTGTGCAGGTGATGGTGATCTAAATTTAACTTGAAAAATTCAAGTATTCAGTAACATTACAGGCCAAGATCAACTGAAACCCACAACAAAATCCAAGTCTCTAGCTATAAATGTAAATAAATGGTCATATAACTCATTTTGAGGATCAACAGCCAGAATACCAAGAGGTACCAAAATTTAGCAGAAAAGTGGCAAATTTCAGAGGTATTTAAAAGCAGAATTCCAATTCTCAAAAATATTTAGACTTAGGTCTGTAAATCATATAATGAAGTATTAACAAACAAACAAACACTTACTAAGCACTTTCTTGAAATAATTCATTTTATCACTGAAGCAAACTATTCTAATAGATCTACGATCCAAAAACTAATAAATCAGAGCAGTTAGTCGATGAAAAAATTGGTCCAAAAGATGCAAGCAGAAACAATTTCTACATTCCTTACTACAGATACCTGTTGTGGAGGATAGCCATGATACGTGGGTGACTTGGTGGGTGGACGGCGCATGTGAGACACTCCAGAGTCATACTCTGGCTCAGAGTAGTAGCTAGGGTCCTCATAGTTTCTGTTGCCATAGTAAACTGGCTTAGTCTGAAGCGTGTCTTTACTGTCTAAGTCATGGAGCTTCAGAACACAACGGTCACGGATATCTCTGGAATAATGGAGTAATATGATGCTAAAATTGTATTTCTGAAATACATTTTTTCAGGGACTAAATATAGTTTTATTTAGTTCAGGTTCAAGCATGGAACACTCTAAAATGCGCCAAATCAGTTAAAGATGGCTTGCTTGTTTTATATGAGCTACTGCAATAAACTGAGGTGGCATACATTACATAACTGAATGCACATATTTTTCATTCACTGTGCCTTGTGAACACTAAGCTTGGTTAAAAATAACAAATTAGCCTAGTAAACACCCAATCAATCAAATAATCAATCACATTAAAAAACCTAATGAACACATTATTCACATAACAACTTATGGTATTGTAAGTATGGCTGACAGTCTGTTACACTGCATACCTCACATCCTCTAGAGGGCGATAGTAGTTGCTGTTGGGATCCATGACAAAGATCTTCTTGCGGGGGTTTTCTAACATCTTCATGTTGAGTTGGTCACCAAACGAGCGAGCAAAGAGAGCCTTGATTGTGTCTAAGTGAGCCAGCTCTGGAGGCAGGAGAGCTCGCTTTGTGGCTCCGTTGAAGACCAAAAATACCAAGGCTGAAATTTTATAAATATTTCAATGTTATGTAAAATATAAAAAATGAATGAATACTTAAATGTATAAATTTAAATGAAAAAGATGAACATCACAAATGACTTTAAATAGTCAAAGTGCATGTTTGGATTCATATGGTTGTAGTTTCAAACATTTAAACAAAAACTGAATCAGAAGCTGGACTTTTGTGCACAGAAGTGTACTGTACGTTATTTGAATTTCATTCTTTCTTTGTTTCTTTTTCAGCATCATATAGCTGCATTGTTTGAAGATAAAGATAAACTCATTAATTCAAAACAAGTTGTAGATTCTTAATATACCAAATATATATTTGCACTTTCATACCAAATATAAGGCAGATGTGGAATACAACATAAAGACACTTAATATCTTTCTGAAATAAACTGAACTACATATGGCAGACAAAAATCTTCATTCACCTGGTGGTCTTTCTCCACGCGGGGACCTCATAGGGAGACTGGAACGGACAAATCCTCCTCGACGAAAATTTCCTGTGGCCTCTGTTTCTGCCTCAGACATAATTCCATCATCCTCTTCTTCGTATCCGTAATGCTGGCGTTGGTCCTGAGCAACCATTCTTCTCTGCATCTGAACACTTGAGGGTCGAACCTAGAATTAGAAAGTCATAGTGTTTTATTTGGAAGTGATAGGCACGAGTAATTTATATTTTGACTATTTTGCTTGTGAGAAAACAACACTGTTCTAAATGTTGAAACATTTCTTGCTTTCAAATTTTCACAGTTGAAGGTTAACTATTCCACACATCAACTATACCAATCATACATGTTTTGAATTTCCTATGAGGCAAGGCAAGGAATTTATATGAAAAGGTTTGCTTGCTTGCTGTTAGCACTTTGATCATTTGAAAAAGACAACTGTAGCCATCTGACCTTGTTTTTGTTTTGCTTATGTGAGCAAATTCTTATAAACAGTAGACTGTGTGATTCATTACTGTGTAATGTGGATTTAGTTTGTCATTTACCTCAAACAAAATTTTTCAAACCAAAATTTTCTTTCATCTGACCTCGATTGTTTAAACTGATAGGATTGCACAGATAAACACACACAAGAAAAAAAAACTAGGACATTAGCCATCTGAAATTATTCATCCTCTGTGGTTTAAAAATACTTCACAAAGATGTTAACTGGATATAATTCAGCATTAATGTGTAACCTTAGAACAAACTACTAATCTCATGAAAATAATATAAATCATATCAGATTCTGAAAGAAATAACAGAAGGACTGATTTATAACTAACTTCAATTTATAGCCACTTTCAATTTTTCCATTCAAAATCTTATACCTAGAAATTTAAAAACTTTCCCATATCAATACAAAATATAAATACAAAACCCATCCCCTGCGAAAATTTGTCTCATTTAAGGTTCACTTACAATCTGTCCTAAAACATTTTTTAATCTTTTAATTAAACATTCTTGATCTGTTCATTGTTATATTCATTACAGAACAACATTAGAAATGTAAAAAAAAATACACCAAATGTTCTAGAATAGATTGAAAACAGTAAGTGAATGTTAAATGAGACAAATGTTCACAGGGGGATGACCAGGTCTGTTCTGGTTCTGTGTTCTCACCTCCATAGCAGGGTCCGGTACTCTCTGATGGTACCCCTGTATTGTGTTGGAATGTTGGGGGTACCTCTGGGCCAGATGGTCAAATAGGGCATCCCTCTGCTTTAACTTCACCTGCAAGGACAATATTGACCAGTGGTCAGTTTATCTGGTCACCATCAATGATCTAGCTCCTATACTGGTCAGTTTATGGTAAGAACATAGCTGCTGTGTTAGCCATTTTGTCCATTTATTTTGTCCAACTTAATCTAAACCACGTTATTTTCATTAAATATATTAAGTATTTCAGTGGGTTTTAAAACATAACCTTATATTACTTTAACTTATCGTATATTTAAAAGAGTTATGACATTTCTTTTATGGTGCTTTGCTAAACATCGATTTTCAGGACATTTTTAAAAATTTGTACTAGTAATAACATGAACATAATGTTTGATATCACCTATAAACAGAAAAGTAGAGCAACCAACAGAATTTCATATACATGTATGAAAAAAGTACAATTCAATCACGCTCATAATTCATACTTGAGCATTGCATTTTTGTGTTATAAGTTTGGCTAACACAGTTGCAGACTAAATGGACATTATTCTCATTTCATTAACAGCAGTAAAAACTAAAATAAAGAAAAAATAGACAAAAAAATCTTTTTACTGCAACAGCTGCTTTAATACTGACTATATTTTCGTATCAAGGCACTTAGTTGAAGTTATTCAAAATCATTTTAGACAGCAGATGTCACAGTTCATGTTCTTAATAGCTAATTGTTGTTTCAGAGCATTTTACGAACAGATGCACATAACATGTGTTGTTTGAGAGCAATTTCAAACAAATGAACATGACAATGTCTACATTTTCTTGTCCAATTAATTCCAAGCGAGAAGAGCAAACAAACCAAGCACTAAAAACATCCTCTCCAGCCTAACATAATATTATTGTTCAGTTTGGATGAATTGCGATTCAAAGTAATCTTTGAAAGCAATCTTGAAAGGAAAAAATTGAACTTCAGCAGCCTTAATGGGCAAGAAATGTAACTGTGAAAAAGAAAGTGTCTGTGAAGTACATGTAGTTCTAACTGTCTATGGGCAGGACTCCCTCATTTGAATTTAAATAAGCAAAATAAAAAAAATAATACAAAACAAGATAAAATAAATAAATAAATAAATAAATAAATAAATAAATAAATAAATTGCTCATTAAGATAACTGTTCATTCTTGTTGATTTTTCATGAGCATATCTGAGCGATCTGATAATGTTTTTGTCTTTGAATTAATACCAAACACCAGCAGAAATTTCTAATTTTAATTTACTTTAATTTTTCTTAATTTCTAATCCAGAGATAATATCAAATTTCAACAGAAAATGTAAAAGCCAAATGTGGAGGGAAAAGTATGTCAATGGCTGACCAAGAGTCCCAAATATCTCACCTCTTCCTCGGCCCTCATGATGTCCCCTGCGATGCCTGATCCCCCTACTGTGTGGCGCCTGATCTTCCCCTTCCTGCTGGTGGCGCGATCTAGTGACGCCGTTTCATACTCACCCCGCGCATTTACTGGAAAAAGAAAAAGAAAAATGGGTAAAAAATCTGATCAATTAATTTTCTAGCTCTATCGTCATTTACAACTTAACCAAAACAGTGATTGGCTAAATTAACTTTTAGTTTAGCAAATTTTAGGGCTGGAAACTGAAATTTGAATAAAAAATATTTTATTTTCCAATTACAGCACACTTTGGAGCTTCTCACACTATAATAATTTAAAATGACAATCAAATTCTAAGAAATAATCAAACTTTGAAGAAATATCAATTTTTCACTGCAAATTGGTGAGATTATTTTTTCTCAACAGATGACAAATTTCATTTATTAATGGTGGTGAACAGGAAAACATGTCCAAGCTGTTCAATGACTAGAATATATACTGGAGTAGTAAACTACCTTAAGAACTTAAAATCAATTTATCAAAATCATACCCCTCACCCCATATGACAGGTCTATAAACCACAGGTACAGACACACTCAAACTCTCACAGTTATACAAACTACTCAGTCACTTGTTTACTAGATAATCTCAAATTTAAAAGGGAAAGATTAACCTCAAAACACAAACTGAATAAAGAAAACTTCTTGGGGCATATTTATCTTGGTTTATATTTCATGACACACTTAAAAGCAATAAAAGATCAACCTCTCCCTGCATACTAAGAGATTGAGAAGAAAAAACTTCATTGTTCCATTTGTTTTGTGTTGTTGACAGAGTGACATAATCACACCCCTGGATGTGCAATTCCGCTAGCTTTTTTTTTTCGTCTTTGCAAGAAAAGGCTTACTTCTTAAAAACATTACTTAAACAAGAAAATCACAGAAAATACTATGCCAATTATCATACGTATTGCTTATACATATACGCAAAAAAAAAATAAATAAATAAAAATCATACTTGTCCCACTTTCAATTAATTATACCTCCTCCACACATGCACATACACATTCAAATACACATACACCAACATACACATTAATGTGCGCGCACACACATACACACACACTGTACTGCAAAGAGTCCAAAGAGCAACCAAAAAAGTCCTCTATTTACTGTGTGGTAATGATTGACATGCCTGGGGTCTCTGGCCTTAGTGGCTCACCACCACCTCATAAACCAGACATTACTCTGTATTGATCTGTTGACATAATAGAGAACAAACAGCCAACAGGAGGACAATTTGACTCACTCACAGGTGCTATAGGACTCGCTGTCTGGCTGGGGAAAATTTGGGACCCTTAACTACTTCAAGTCATTGAACAGTACTTATTCGATATTATTAACGGTTTGAGTTGCTTAGTCTGGCTGACCTGTGAGCTTCTCCCTTCCCCAGCGCCCCCCCCCCCCCCACCCCACCCCACCCCCACTCTCAGTTATTCTAGATAAGTTATGCACACTGTCTTTGCTTTTTCTTATCTCTCTCTCTCTCTCTCTCTCTCTCTCTCTCTCCAGAAATCATTCAATGTTACAAAATAAACATGAATGTGAACAATATCTACCAAAATATATTTATTTTCTGACTCATCCATTTGAATGGTTCTCAGTATATAGAATTGACACAGTACCAGTGTACTAAGCTTTAAACTTGGAGCAAAATAGTAACCTAATCTTAGCACAGTTATCTCTTATTGACAAGATAATCTGCCAATACAAACACCACCATCTGTATATATGTTGTATATAAATCCTACATCAGTGAGAAATAATTTATCAATGTCATCAACACCACTTTTACCTTGTACAATACTGAGCAACTTCCAATTTACTCCAAATATGTTTTTTTGTCAGCTTTTACTATCTGACTGATATTATAACCATATACACACACATACACAAACACACACGCATGCATGTGTACTAGTACAGGCATGATAAACAAACACACACTGATGCTTGAAAAAGCTTGAAATTCTAAAATTAACATTTATAAATTATATAAGTGCTTTCCCTTCCCACTCTCTTTTTCTCCCTCACGCACTCACAACCACACACACACACACAAACACACACACACAGTTATCCATACAACTTAAAAGTACCACTAGTACATCCTCAATAGTAAACATCAATCTCCTCCCATTGTTTAGTGTAGCATGTGTAAAAAATGCACATCTGTGCACATAAAAGTACACACATCCGTACAAGCACATGCTCTTGCATGCACAACTAATGTATTTTCAGCCTCAAATGCACGAACACTCTTCACACTCATATGTAATTATTAACAAGCAAAAATCAAGGCACCTTAAAACCACTTTGACGCCTATCACCTACAGCACTACTTATAAATCAAGGATTTGCAGTTAGTAAAAGCTTCAGGCAACAGTATAATAGTAACAATTTTTGTGTTAAATTACCATGGAAACCATTGGCATTATAAAGACACACGTTAAAACTGTCTATGACACATGTTTTTGGTGACAGCTGCAAGTACTTTTTTTTGTGAATAAAAATAGTTGTGAAGTGAATTACTAGTAGTGTCACAATTACTACTCAGTATGTACATGTAGCCTGAACTCAACAACAGTCATTACCAAAACTTATCTTAGTTAGCTTTCAAATTTACATGTCAAACTTAGTGACATATCAAATCTACTGAATAACCAAATACTGAAATTATGTCTCATCTGTTTATATTTGTACATATTTTGTAATTTAAAGAAACATAATGTACGTAGAGAAGTCAAAGCATCTGTAAAATTTGTGCTAGTATCAATTTAGAATACTATAATAATCACCATCAAGTTATATACAAACAAGATATATTTCATGAGCAAAATTTCAAGAGCAAAAGTGCCTAAACTGTTTTCAGACAATTCTTTTACTCACACCATTGTGCAGCATTTCATGAGTTTTTTTTCAATAAGATTTGCACTCAGTACAAAAACATACAAATGAACATAATACACATACAAATAGTCCACGTGTATCATTATCCAACTGATTAAATACAGCACTAAGTGCCATGTTCTTATTTCCAGACACAACTTCAGGTACACCCAATACCACAACATAGTGAAGTGCTAATCCATTCTTACATCCGATATATAGAAACATACACGAAAAAATATCAGTAATCAAACATTATTGTTACCTAAATGAAGTTTTAAGAATAAGTCTTCCTTTATATCATTTTTAAAATAAAATATGGAAACAGCAAAATCAGTAAACCCAATATGTAGTACTCTGTGCACATTGGCATTCTTAAAAGTTTATAATCATTTTAACCAATCAGCATATGTCTGTTAATATCAATGTCAAACTTTTAATGGAAATGTGAAACTTCTAACTTCTGGTACTTGCTTTTAGAAATCCAAATGTATTATTACTTACTAATTCATACTTTCAGACACACACACACACACACACACACACACACACACACACACACATATTCAACAGGATCTTGTACTTATAACCAACGTGTTGCATCTTTGTTTCAATCCTCCTTATCAGTCAGGTAGACGGTTCAATTTTTTTTTTTCACCAATCATTACCATGCTTTACATGGACATATAAACCTACTAGCACATAAAGTCTTAAAAAAAGATCAGGTTCTCAACTCAGCCAGTGAACTGGGTCTGTAGCAGCAGATATACAATGACACTTACCTTACTACTTGGTAAGTACCTCATTCACACCCTGTTAAAACCTGTTCAAAGCGAGAACAAATATCCACAGGAAAAAAGTTTCAAGACTGTGGAATTTTCAACCAGTTTTACTTTTAAAAGTAGTTTCCACTTTGATACTTACACTGAACAGGAACCCTCTTTTTCCCTCGGAGAGAGCCGTACCAGGATTTCAGCCTGTCCATTGTACCCCCACCGGTTGCCTTAGCCTCACTGGAAGTGGAGTGAGCAGAGGCGGAATCGTTCAGCTGTAAGTCTATTGATCCCTTATCGCTACTGTTGTCCTCGGGTAGTTCGTATATTACATCCATGGGACAATAAGTAAACAAACCTCGGGGGCTGCAGTGCGCTGACGTAGTCCGCAGCCACCCGCTCCCTTAAATCCTCCACGCTCAATGTCAATGTTTTTTCCAGCCCTCACACGCAGTCCAGCCAGGCTGTACAAATATTTTATATCTTATAAATCTATGTACACAAGTCTGAAGGCTAGGTGAGAGTCACCAGTCACCAAAACAAGTGCCTGTCAATTCAGCTCCTAAGCCATGCTGTTTGCAGTGTTCAGTCTAAATAAGGCTGGAGATAAAGAAGGAAGGTTGGTGTGGTGGTTACACTGTAACACTGGGGCCCAAGGATGTCAACGTGTGTGTGTGTGTGTGTGTGTGTGTGTGTGTGTGTGTCTGTGTGAGCATGTGTGCACCTGTGCATATGCTTTCTTAGCCTACCAAAATGTAGGTAGATACTTCACAGCACGTATGTGCACTAGGATGCGTCTGTGTACACATTTGTGTGTGTGTGTGTGTGTGAGAGAGTGTACTGTAACAGCAAAGACACATTTACATCAGCCCCAATTTGAACCATCATAAACTTCATCATTTGCTCTCAGCAGTTACTGCTCCTAAATTTTAGACAAAATTGATCTTTTCACTTCCATAAAAACCAACCTTTACAAGACAAAGGTAAAGGACTGCATGTAATTCCTACCAAGGGTGAGCTTACCTTAAACAAAAATACCCTGGAGAAGAGCTACAACCAAAAGAGCCCAACTATCTTTAAAATAAATGTGACTTTAAGTACCTGACACAATTCTTTAACCATAACTAAAGGACTGAGAAACAAAGTCCAGATTGAACTGACTTTTGTCTAATGTATTATATAATTTGTACCACAACCCAATGAATCTATGATTCATTAAGAACTATTCATTGGATTATGTCAAGACAAATATCCACAGTTTATAAATATATCATCATTGTATGGCTATGTAATACTGTGTTACCAGCTGCTGCCTGAGTACTGTATGTGTTAAGCCTAGGTCCCAACCGAACGTACGGGCTGCTACGTGTGGTATACGACCAAAAAAATGGGAGAAACATGGGAGTTCGT